CCAAAGGTTTTAAAAGACAGGTAAGGAGCTCGGGCTGGCAGGTGGGCCCACCGAAGCACCGTACTGGAACTGTACCCGATGCTTCGGGCAGGCTCCGGTACGCCCTTACCGGGGTGTACCACCTGCAACCCACCACTGAGGCAGTCGCTTTCACTTTGCAACCCACCACTGAGGCAGTCACTTTTTGTGTTGAATTGATATTTTACCAACAAAGAAATAAAGGGAGACTAGTATAGATCTATTTTAAGCTATCATCTGGGATGTTTGATAAAGTGAGCATGGAGGATTTATTTTTGAGAATAAGTTATCAACAACTACAAGACTTTCTTCAGCAAGACCAGAATAACAGAGTTATTCAAATGGTGAATTGGGAAGAACCACAGATCATTGCTCCTGCACCAATTCCATCAGTTCTCCATGCAAACCTCAAATTTCATTTCCTACCAGAGAAGAGTAGTCACGATGCTTCCATGTAGTTTTTCAGGATTATTTTTTCCCATCAGTGTTGCTTTAGAAAAAAGGTCCTTCCTCAAAATAACACATTACAAGTGTCATAGTCCTTTAGTACCTGCATTACTCCTAGTTTATGAAGAACATGGCAGATGTCATTTTTAACCCTGCTTAAAAGGAGGAGCTACAGAGTAATAATGGTCAGTAGAGTGTAAGAGAAGGAAGTAGCAGCAGCTGTGAATTCAGAAAGTGCAGTATGTAATCCTGAAGACATTATCACTGGTATAGATCAATAATAGTTACTGATATTGACATATATAGCATGGGCTTCCAGAGAGAGGTGAACAACAGGAGAGAATTGGTAAAATGTGCCCAATCCTGTTGTGATTTAAGCAGAACTTTTGTTGTGACATTCCCATGCATGTTTCATCATCTCTGTTAGCCTCTGCATATTTTACCAGGGAGATAATTTGCACAGGAAAGTTCTGCAATAGCAAATTCAGCAACATTACTATCGTTGTGAATAGAAAAGGGGGAAATGTGTCTGAAAGAGCTGTTTGATTTGGCTCTGCTTGCAACAAATAAGAGTAGAAGCAACAAAATCATGATTGAAGGGTAGTGTCACATCCTTCTATGTATAAACTGTGGGTTTGCAGGTCTAACTGGGAATCTTACAAACAATATATGAACAATATAGATAACTTCACATATATCTCATATTTGTGAAATATACAGTATACTGTTTGCATGATGTATCTAGGTATAGGGGAAACATGCAAAGGCATACACATATTTATTAGAGACTTATTACCATACAATCTTGTTAATTTACTAAACCTATAATTTTTACAGGATTGCAAAAATAATTCTGACACTAATAGCAAAAGCAAATCTCACATATCTAATAAAATTAGAGTATACAAAATTCAGGAAAGAAACATCTGTTAGTTCTGCAAGATATGTAATTGCCATCTTTTACTTATAAAACAAGTACCGTATTTTCACGACCAAAAGCCGCACCGGATTAAAAGCCGCAGTATCAATTAACGCTAATTTTTTAAACTTTTTCCACA